AAGTAGATAATCAACTCTAGCGTGGTCGTTAATAAGACAATTAACCATAAACTGAAGCGGCACCGGGAAGGGCCATCAGCGCACGGTCTTGCGTTAAATTCCAGGGCGATTAGAGTCAAGGTGAAGGCTCGGGTTGGTGTTTGGTTAAGGGTTAGGACGCGGAAACAAGTATCCTTCCTGTAATTTAGCGCATGACCACCTGTTTTACCCCGGGGCCGGGGGGGGGTTTCCTACTCCCAATCCTTCTGTACTTATTCTCTCAGTTAATTGTTAATTTCAAGCCAGTTTCTGTGCAAGCTCGTTTCCCCATAGCCCTACCATATTTGAAATTCTGCTTTCCTGACATCCGATTGCTACTCTGGCTAATGGCAAAATCCCGACCGCAAAAATTTGCACGGAGGTGGTTCTGCTAGAGGTTATTTTGCCGAGATCTTGTCAGCGTCCTCCGCCAATAGAAAAAACTTTGGACAATCCTCGCTGATACAAAATGGCCCGCTCGGTCGGCGCACTAAGTATTCTGCGTACATCACGAATTTTGCGCAAATGGGACACGGCAGGGATCTGAAAATGCTGTTTATTTGGCCGATGCTTTTAACTGTTCCCTAGGATTATGCCAGAGGAAAAACTTAACTGCAGGTTGCGTCTGATTTTCGGTCAGAGATGCGACGGCGCATCCCAGTCGGTTCATGCGCAGGGATGTAGTACTTGCATGAATACTGAAATGACCTGTGAAACTGTCGCAACGTTGTGCTACAATACTGCTAAGCAGAGCATAAATGTCGCTTTATTTTCCCCCGATTCTGACATGCTTACATTTACCGGAAATAGGCGCAAACGCCCCTCAACTAATGAGGTGTAGAGAGCTTGGACTGCGACCTTAGGGGAGAAGTCGAGTGATCCTTCTCTCCAGACTTGCGCCTTGGTTGTTAGGCATTTGCCTCCCGTATTACTGGCTCCCGTTTGTACTTTCCGACATCTTGAATACTTACGATTTTTTCCGTGCAGCGTTGAACGCTAGGTAATTTTCTTTTGTTGAATTTTCGAGGTTACTAACGACTTTTAAGCATTTATGAAGATTTGGTGGAAGACGGACATTTTTAATCTCACGTAGTACCATAAAATTCTTGAAAGGTCGGAATCATTTGTCAGTACCGTTGCATGAAGAGAGAAAAGTACTGAAAATCTTTAAAAATGATGCAGACATTGTCACTCACCCGACGGACAAGGAAGATCTAAGGGCGACTTCTATGAAACAAAGATAATCGGAAAGTTTACGTCATTATTAGAAGATGATTCAACCCACAAATCTCTTACCTCGGACCATCTCAAAACGCGTATGTCATCAGTTTTTAAACTATTGGGACCTCTTGTGGGGAAGAAACTATTATCAAGGGATTGCCAAACCCCTAAAACAAAGTGAGCCGACTATCGTTGAGACCAACGTGGTTTCTAAGGGTCATAAAAATGACGCCTCGCCACGACTGATGGCCTCGTTAGTCGCATATACGCGTGTTACAAAGGCATCATGAAGACCTCCCACAAGCCAACGTAAAGTAGCCCTGCGACCTGGATTGGCATCGCCCAAGGTCGGCATGCGTGGAACACCGCTGTAAAGATGGTAGTAGTCATTTTGGAAGTCTACCGAATGTCTGCTGACGAGGTAAACAGGTGCCGGGAAGACCTAAGTGCCACGGACCAAAAACGCAAACGTACAACCCTTACCATAGTGTCCAAACTGCCATCTGGACACGGAACGTCGTAATTTGACATCTTCAGACAGTGCAATATCAACGCGAGAAACCCCTCCCTCCCCTCACATAATACTACCCCTGCCGCCTCCATTATTATCACTAGGCAGAAATTTGTACCATCCTGTAAAACACTACCACCACTGCTCCTAACACCAGATACGTGGAACCAGTGTCATCCTATTACCATTGCGGTCACATTGGCCTGATCGGTCACTTACATCTACGTTACACTGGGACCGACGGTGGTCCCCAACAGATCTCCGCTCATTCACCTCACCTCCACCCACTGCCCCAGAACTCCTGGCCATCACATGGGCCTATTTGGTCATATTTGTTTCTATTAAAATTTCCAACAGAGCCCAGAGCCCACCAGAAGACCTCTTCCTATTTGAAAACATATGAACCTATTTCACAGCACGCTCATGCGCGGCACCTCCGCGTAGCCACGCCTTTGTTGGCCTTGTCTGTGAGCACTGGTGGAGACGTCATTATAGAGTAGCAGCAGAGTAACTGTTATCGTTGCTGTGACCAACGGCCCAGTGACAAAGCATTCTTACCTAGGCAGCATTGTCTACGCATACTCGGGTACCGAAGTCGCCGACAACAATCAGTTCGTGTACCTTTGGTAGGGACATCAAGAGAGCGCCTGGGTCTTCTCAGAATATCTCCTTTGAGCCGATTTTGCTTGCAACTTTTGGGGCGTGACCGTAGCAGTGGTGGCAAATTTCCTCGGAGGGGCGGAACTGCCATTGGGATTATGTGTCGCTGATGATATGTTGGAGAAGAAGGTAATTTTTTGACGAGGTCGGTTCTGACAATGAAGGCAACCACAGTATCGCGGCTTTTTACTTTGAACTGGTTGACCCAGGAGATGGACTATCCTATGCCAGTCTCACTCAACTCTCCTTATTCCGAGAATCCGCTCTCAATGAGCTAAGCTGTTTCTACTTTGCAACTAGATTTCTTGGAAGACCAGAGTGGCCCTCTTCTCCGACGGACTGTCAGGGATGAGAGCATGCCAAGCTGCCATAGTGAACGATGCCTCTCTATTGAAAGGGTTAAAAGACTGAGGAAAACGGCTGTGGTTTCGCATAGTGTCCCGACCATGTACTTATCGTCACGGTTAGCTGGCAGACGGTGTGGCTACCAGCATTTCCGGGGTACATTTTCTGGCACTTACTCGTGAGGACTAAACAGATCTTTCTTAAATAGAGCTTCCAAGACACGCCTGGGGGCTGTCACTTTGTCCTGTGGGTCAGGACTTTGGTACGACGGGAGGACGAGCCGAACTAGCCTAGGACCCCTGCGGAATTCCGCGTCGCTCCCAACACAGGACCTTGGTTGTCAGGCGTTGGCAGCAAGAGGTGGGCTTGGGAGCAGTGATTGACAAGTGCTAGGCGACTTATGTATGTCAAACACGACTGGATCCCATCCCATCAGTGGGGAGTATCGGATCTCACATAAATGAAAAGTGTCATGAAAACCAAATTCTGAAGCGGCAGCCTTATTCAGGTCCTCGTTTTAAGTTAGGACAGAGTTTTCCAGTTGGCTAGAATCCTTCTAATCCACATGATTCGATACACTGCAACAAACCCTAAGCTCTTCTAATAAATTCCCACTGACACCGCACAGCGAAGTCCCAGCTCATTCTTGTTGCTCATCTTCGCGTACATTCTAAAATCAGCAAACGACAGGCTGAACCGGAGCACCGAGAATCATTGTTCAATTCTTAAATCCCCTTCCCTTCCCCCACCTGCGCGCATTGTGACCACGCATACTTCAGCTGGATTGCCCAGACTGTACGCATTCATGCCCACTCCCATTGCCCGCCTCATCGTCAAAGAACAAATATTGCGAGGGTTTGCACTCACTGTGAGCTTCCAAATGCGTTAAAGATTCTCCCAAACCTCAAGCTCAATCTGAATATAGAAATTACCATCATCTCGCTATGTGCGATTCGTATTAGTCCGGCTACACTACGCTCTTGCGCGTGTGTACACAAGGCATCGGTTTGCATTTCACAGTAATAAGGACTTCTACTGACACTCAATTGGCCTGCATTTGTGATTCAGGCCGACTGGGTCATCCGCCGACTGGAGCCAGCATCACACTGGCGCCTGCAGACTTCATGAATCTGCCTAATCCCATCAACGATGTGTGTCCCATAGTGGTGAGCGATAAGCACGAAACGCACGGAGTCAACAGATTAGAGCAAATCATTTGGTCAGGGCCTTTAACATGTCCCTGAATCTCCCTGGAATATCGTCAGCTAGTGGAATATTAAAAACGGTAGACTAGGGCAGGCTGTGGTGGACCCTTCTTAATGTGGCTTGGGTAGCAGCTCTGGCGCACAGACTTATCCAGACATACAAAACACCACAAACGAGACAATCGCATTCAGTCGAACAGGACATTCAGGCGGACGGAAGCCTCGGTGACCGTGATTAAATTCCTCTCGATCTTTTCCAAGTTCTGAACGGACGTATATAAGTGAACTCTTTCTCTTTCTAAAATTATCACTCTGGAACTCTCGACTTTACCAGCCTGCTGCTGTGCGCCAGGCCTCCTATGATATCTTGCACACTACAAAGAAATGCCCTTTAGTCAGCTGGGGAATTGTGAATACTAAGAACATGTTTGAAGGACCTGTTGCATAGGCATAACTTATAATTCTAATCGTCTGGAATCTGAAAATAATTTTTCAATAAAAAAGAACATTTTCGAAGTCAGCGTTGGCATCACTGCCTTGATTCTCGCATGAGGGCAAGGGAAAGTTGAGGGTCTTGACAAAGGAATGGTCAAAGAGAAACATAAGCAAGACTGCGTACAATGCATGTTGGTGTGTTTTTGAGAGAGAGAGAGAGAGAGAGAGGGGGGAGGAAGAGAGAAAGAGAATGAGAGAGGGGGGTGAAACGAAAACATGAGCATTGACCTCAGCTTTGGCGATGATGCTCGTCTGAGTGCAATGATTACTTGGGGGGGGGAAGGAAGAGGAGGAATGTCTTGTCTGTGCAAACTTCTGAATGACTGATTACCTTCTTCGAAAAGGCGGTTATGATAATGATAGCCGAATGCTGTACAGGACCTCCCTCCGAGGCCCAGATATCACAGTGGTGCATTTGTATGAATGCCTCCTTTGAGTGTGGATTCTGCCACAAGCACCGACCAAGAGATCCAGCCGCTCGAGGCGGACAGCGCACGTCAGAAAGACCGCTGGCGAAATGGATGTTTCGGGGAAGCACACAGCCCCTAAAAACTTGACAAACTACAGCTGAACTCACGAGGTCTGTGTGTGTTCACGTGAGGGGGTTCGCTTTGGGTAGCTGAAACCACTCCCTCTCTCCGAGCCTCGCTGCTTCTAAGATCGTCATGTAACTGGCCTGACAGCATGGCTATCCACTTGCTAATGAGTCCAACTTGCACAGGCATCCAAATGTAATTTTCATCTACACGCCGCTCCCCAGAACCAGACTCTAACGCTGTGGAAAAGGGGGGCGCATTTGGAAAGTTCTTGGAGAGGAACCCCATGGAACTATTCAATAAGGGGGCGCAGGCATTTAAGTTCCAGTCTCCCGCTGGAAGGCTGTTGGACCTCTCTGCAGCTGCATGTGGATTGACTGTTGCGACCGACATCCTTGACGCAGCCTGCCTTCTGCTCTCCGATGCCAGCAAATCTATCTGTTCCCGGAGCCGATTCATGTTTATTAGGTGTCGTTGATAATGCAGGTCCGAGAGACGATCGGGATCTGTTTGGTTCACAAGGTTCTGCGCACTCGCGGCTGGTTTCCAGTGATTAACCCATTCCTTGGTGAGGTCTGCGACAATCTCGTTCCAACCCTTCGTTTTTTCTGATCCTGCTGGCGCCGGTACGTTTGATGTGGTATTCAGAGGTCCGGCGCAGAGTAAGTCAGTCTCGGAGGTGGGAGTAGAATGGTGACAGCTACATTTGCAGTTGGGAGTGGGGGACCTGCCGTAAAGGGAGCCCGAAGTGGCTGGACTGGAGTTAGATGCCTGAGCAGTGTCCCTTGTGGGTAGAGGGTTTTGAAAAGGTGGCGACAGTTTTTCCTGTCCATGATCCTGATGAAAGGAAGAATTTCTTTGCAGAAGACTTTGTAGGACCTCCCTACAGGCAAGTGAGGCGATGGCGTTTAGTCGATCCTCCTGACTCATACTGTCCATCATTTCTTTTTTCGGATTGGCTCTTTCATGAGCCATTTCCATACCCTGGATGGCCTGATTCGTTGTTGCTGCTACCTGATCGCGACCCGATACGGTCGGAAAGCAGGTCAGAAACCTTTCAAAATCACCCTGAACGCCTATTATCGGGTTACTAGTGCTAGTGATATTGTTGACTGGGAGCGGAATGTTGGAGACAGTACTGTCCGTGACCTTGTTACGATCAACCGGAGGGAGTCCCCAGTAAAATGGGAGGGGGGGATAGTCTGGCAAAGGTAGACCCAGTGGTCGGGATGCTTTATGGAGTAATTCGACATGGGAAGAATTCGCAGTGGCAGCGCCTCCAGCTGTACTGACTGACGGCGCCGAGGGGGCAGGTACAGAGGGAAAAATTGGACAGGGGTACCTCGGGACAGCGTCGGGAAAACGAAGACTTTCGCCAAGAAAATTGCCTCCAACCACTGTGTTGTCCGCCATGGGTGGTGGAGAAAAATGGAGGTTGGCGGATGCAGTACCAAGCCCAGGGACCAGCCCTTTCGAGAAGCCGGCATAGCTCTTTGATTGACTGTTGCTGGGGCATTCTGCACTGGTAGTGGGATTTCGGTTTGCTTTGGGACTCTTCTTGGCGTTGGAGGAGGGTTTGTTGGCCTCGGGGGGAAGGAATCGACCTCCGCCGGGCTGTATTACGCTGTTCTCCGCCGAAAGGTGGGCAGTGGGGAAGGTGAAACCCTTGAGGTTGTTGAGCCCGATGAAGCGGTAGACGAACTTGTGTCCGTGCACTTTACGAATAATGTTCTTCTGATAGTAGTACCGCAGAGCCCGAGAGAGTTTATCGTAATTCATACGGTGATTATTGTCCTTGCGTAAGCCCCATAGACGAGCCACCTCCTCAGCACGCAAAAGGACAAATTCACCGGCGTTGTTCGTCCAACGGATGAGCTCGGCGTACCGGTGGTCCAGAAGCAGTTGCAGTAGAAACTGCCAGAGTGTCACCTTACCCTTACTGGCGTCGAATTCGAGCTGTCGTGGGTAATAAATATGGGGTTTAATTCAAATGAAATGAAAATATCTGCAAAAAGGTTGTAAATTACATCGCTCTTCAGAGAAACTGTGCTCGTTAAACATTTATTTTGGGCAATTGGGAACAAAGTTATTTTCCGCCTTCTTATATGTGTTAGTATGTTCTGTCATTTCAGTATAAGTCCTTCGATTTGAGAAAAGATAGGCCGCTTTTACTTATCCATTCGAGCTTACATAAGAAAGGAAGCGGGCAATTATTACTTTGCCAACGTTTACTGGAAGGTTTCACTCACGGTCACCCTCTTCCGTTAAGAATTCTGACAAAACAGAAAAACGCAAGCTCAAGCGTTGGACTGGCTATGCAGTTAGCCGACAGCGGCTTACAACTTTATTTTAGCTTTGTCAGGTCTATGTGAACAAGTGCACTTAAATGACTGTGTAATGTCTAAAAAGGCAACCATTTGAGTCATAAACTTATATGCAAGTGCTGCGATTGATAACGACTAATTTCTCTAATGGTGAACGCGATAATTCGGTGAAGGGCATGACACGTGACCTCCTAGCTGACTAAATCCACTATAATCAGTCTTCTGTGACGAATTTTTTACGGTTCCTCATATTTTTGAGGGAGCCGAACAATAAGATCTTTATTTATATTAGTCCATTGGTTAGGATTGTATGAACGGAGGCGAAACATGTCTGAAACAAGGTCTTAAGAATCTACCAACGTCTCTGGCCAACTTCGACCTAGGATGCTGCCACCCTTAAGGAGCTTGCTTGCTTCAAAAATAAAACGAATCAAAGTGCGCCCAATTGTCTATAAAATGCTGTCGACAGCGGTTAACAATAACAGACGACATTGTACGTAAGGATTCCAGTTCAATTAAACGCCTGTAACCGATCTGAGTAGTCTCGTCTGTGAACTAGTGGCGCTGTGCGTACATGTAAATCCTTTTGCTTTTGGTCCCAGGTGGTGGTTTTTGTTGGGTGGTTGGATGAAGGCAAAATAAGTACTGAACAGCGCTGTCTTAATCTATCTGCCTCCTTATCGATGCGCCTCTGAGATAAAGCCTGACATGTACATATCGCCTTCGCCTTCAATGATGTGATTAAACACAAGCGGGAAACGGTAAGTAAATGTATATTTTTTTCGAAAGTTCTAATTTTCATTTTTCATACATATAAATGTCTAATGGTAGGGGACGCTCACCGATCGTTCATACGGAACTCACTCGTCCCCTTGTGCCTTACGGGCTCTCTCTCAAGCCCAACCAGCAGCCGCACAGCGCCACATGATATAGGCAGAATAACGTTATCGACAAAGACAAGGGAGACTGGAATGGCCATTTCTGGCTTATTAGTCGTCGTCAGCCAGTCATACCCAACCCCGAAGTGTGGCACACCCGAGGCTTGAACTCACGACCTGTTGGCTTAGAATTCCACGCCTCTACTCACCGGACCACGAGCCAGTTGCCCTGTCGGTTTTCGATCGGGAATATACTATGGTAGGAGGCGCTCACCGATCGTTATTACGGAACGAGTGATTTCCGTAATAACGATCGGTGAGCGCCCCCGACCATTATATATGTATGATGGATATAGATGAAGATGCTGACCCCGGGTGTTGAGATGGAAGAAGGTAAAAAGATCTCATATTGCATATTCAATACTGACTCTGTAATTTACATTTCCAATTACATGGAGAAAATATGAATGCAGACTTTCGATTGAACCACTGGAGGGAGTTAGCCTAAGTACTCGCCAGGGGTGAGATCATTAAGAAATGCCGACGACAGAAAACGATGCTTGGTGCTCGACACTTGGGCAATCACCGTCTTTTAGCACCAAGGTTATATATGCAAGTCCAACCACAGAGAAAACCTCAAGGAAATCTACCAGAGCAGTTTGCTGGCTGAGAGAGCATATGGTATCCCATAAGAGGAACGAAGAGTAGTATGGGACAAGAGCAATATTGCAGTATTAATAGATAGAGAACCAACAGAGTACACCAAGGGAAGATACCGCTAGTGTTACCACCAACCGTCTAGCGCCTGCGTGTCGATGTCACTAGTATTGATTTGGCAATACGTAAGTCGAGAGTTGAAAAGAACCAACCTAACAAGTTCTGCATAAACAACAGCATAGCTAACACTGTGAGAGAGAATATGGGAGATACAACGCAGTCGGCTGGCCTGAAAGGTGGGAGAAACTGAAGAATGTACAGACCGTAATTAAGTCGAAAGCTTGGTCGGATCTTATTTCGTAGCCGTACCTGCGATAGAGAGGCCACAGCCTACCCCATAACCCCAACCCCTAACCCTGACCCGTAGCCCCTAAAATCAACTCCTAACCCTAACCCCTATCCCCCAACCCCTAACCCCTTACAGGTGCGGCTACGAAATAGGATTTGGCTAGATCGCAGTTGGTATCCAGGCCCCGTATTACAGGTGGCTGGGGGGAGGGTTGTTTACTGGCGCTATTTTGCGGGGTTCCATAATCACATCTGACCCATTTGGATTCCGTTTTACGTTTGAGGTTGGGATTAGGGTACCGAATAATGGTTTCCGATTTTTGGGTTAGGGTTATGCCTTTAGGCTTAGGTTTTCGGGTTACTGTTAGGGTTTGAGCGTACGATTAGGTTTCAGTATTACGGTTAGGTTTGCCAGTTATGGTTATGTCTAAAAGCTACGGTTACGTTTACGATTTCGGTTAGGGTTAGGGTTGCCGTTAGGGTTAATGGTTAACGTTTAAGGTTGAGATTAGGGTTAGGGTTAAGGCCGCCGTCCGCTTCCCCATTCCTGGCTACCAACTGCGATCTAGCCTAGGAACTTGTCAAAAGCTTATTAGTGGCCATTTGGAGAGTTCCTAGTACATCTAAGCCGCCTAGTTGCTCAGTCCTGACGAAACTACACCGTTTTCAGAGTAATGGCAGATTCTGGGAGGCTAGACTGTGCGCCTCAGAAACGTCCTCAATCGCGCATCCTCAGTCTACCGGGAAGTCGTTAGCAGACGCCTCAAATTTCGCCTCAACTTCGACCTTGACCATCTAATTTGCCAGCAGGAGACGTCGGGGCGGCGTGGCAGATGTGTATCAGAAAAGCACAGAACGCCCACATGGCTCCAGCTGAAGCCCACAAATACGGTGATTCACAACTCTTGGACAAACTAACTTTTCTATTCCAGCAGATTTTAAGACGCATGTTCCTGGGGTGCTTTAAGTGGGTGAGCATCGTGCACCGCCAAGGTCGAAAAGGGGGTTGCAAAATCCATGACAGCCAACTTAAAATCCGCCTTCCCGCAATTGCCATCAAAATATTCACCCGCGTCTTCCTCCAGAGCCTGACTGTGTATCTGCACCACAAATTTCGCCCGAAGGCTAAGTGTGGCATATGGGGACCTTTTGAAACGACCGACCTGACATTCACAGCACAGTAACTGCTGGAAAAGTGTCGCGACATAGGAATCAGCCGCTACACCACCGTTGTAGATCTCAGTTAAGCCGTCGACACTGTGAAATGTGAACTCTAGGAAATTAGGGTGAAATCTGGATGTCCGATAGGCTTGTGCTGATGGGCAGGCATGATGGCGCGCGTCGCGAGACGCAAGTGAAGTTCAGGGGACGTCGCGGCGACAAAAGAGGCTAGGCAGGCTTGCACACCCGGTCTAGCTCCCTTTGGTCCCGCGTTTTGTGCGATGCTGGTGAATGCCTATCGTGAGGAGTGACTGATAATTATTATGAATTATCGAACTGACAGGAGACCACTGCGTACACCGCGCGTACACTGTGCGTACACCGTTACGCAAGTCCCCAGGAGCGGGGTAAACCACCTTTCCTTCGACGACGATTACGAACACCGATCTGTTTGGCTCAAAATCAAGCAAGTCCGGAATCAGAACGCAGGGTTTGTGTGTAGGTGATTACTTAAGCGGTCGCAAAGAGACAAAAAAGACACCAAAAGAGGTAGATCAGAAAAGGGAAGTAACATTCGGATGACTAGTCTCCCAGATTAAATCGTGCCTCCTTATGAAACTGTGCCTCCAGTAGAGAAGTTTTGAAATATAGCCGCCCGCCAAATTACTTTCGGACAAATATTGGTTTCCAGTTGATTATTCAAGCAACTAGGGAAATCTCGCATAAAACAAATAGCTGCTTGGGCAGTATATATCTTTCTAAATTGCCTGAGATGCCTCGGTGAAGCCCATATTTCCTACAAATGAAATATTAAAACAGCTTATTTATTGTGGCTATTTCAGGGACGCCTCCCTCAATAAATATTCCTGTTCGAGAAAGTGCTCAACATAGGGAGGTGTTAAACCATGTGCCCACCCGCAACATTTACTTTAATATCCCCGATTTTTGATGATTTTTCTTGGAAATACATAATGGAAGCCGATATACCACTCATCTCACAGTCCCTGAGTGTTCCTCTGTAGTAAAAACCCACAGTTCTATCAAAAGGCTGAAAGTTTTGGGGAACGTTAAGAAGGAAAAAATGAGACAGGAGGAAACCCAAAGGAAGCCCAAAGTTAACACTTTTGTCCACTGACTGCTAACTGGTACTAGGGACTGTATTTTAAAGAAACAGGCATGAAGGAACAAAGTATCAATCTTAAACGCACCACATTACCTGTCTCATCACAAGACCATAACGAGGTTTTCCATATAGGTTCGGCCTATATATATTTACTAGGAATTCTCGTCTGATCTGTACAGCCAGTTCCACAATGTTCCAGCGAACACTAAGTTGTCCAGTCTGCTGAGGACTGATCGACTACAAGGCTGATGATCGGGCGAATTTAGGCCATTGCTTATACGAAAAGACCAAGGGCTACTTTATGTCGTGATGCTCGATTCGCTAGAGGCAGTGGGGTTAAATGCGGTTCCTAATCCAGCCCTTTCATTTGATAATTCATGAAATGTCTCCGTATTCTGCCCAGGCTGATAACAAGGACCGAGAATTCGGGTATTTCTTTCGAAACTAGACGATTTGTGTAAACATTGGTTATTACAGAGCCAATATATCGACATTATGAATTCCTGATTAGGCTTAAGTAAAGGTTTTTATCAATTTTTTATTACTGCGTTCATGCAGGAACACTTTCAGTTGTTTGGATTCAAAACAATAAATTTTAATTTTATGCCTTTTCAGACGGCGATTAAATTGACGCATGTTCGGGAATTTTCCAATGACATCGCTTTTTAACTGAAGATCCAAACTACAGTGAGCATAGCCTATGCAGCTGAACCGAACATGAATTTGTACTATTAAGTGATTCCGATAGCATCGGTACCTTTTTTCCTACGACTCCAGAAAAGTTCTCATATTTTGAAGGTATAGAGCACGTGCCTTTATTTATCATATAGGCATCATCGGGCGGCCCTAGGAGATCTAAGTCATAGCCATCACTCCAAGCTTTTACATGATCTACGGCTTTACATGATGACGACAAAGTCGTTGGGACGCAGAAGTTAAGAATATCAGAATGATCGCACTTGGACCTGTTCTTATATTTTGTCACTATCTGCTTATGGCTTACTTACATTCTTCCTCGTCATTTTGAAGGGATCCTGCATCTCTTCATTAGCTGGCGATAATTTGGTAATGTGCTCTAGAAGAGCCGCTTTGGCCATAACCCCATTTTACAAAGAGACAGTTGTCTGTGTAATAAGTCGCAAATATCCATCGAATTCCACGCCGTTAGGAAAGTTTGCCAGATATAGAAAGGCGTCTAAAGCAATCACCTGACAAACATGCTACATCCCAGAATAAAATAATCTGTCATTATTTCTGCGGTCGACATTGTGGTTGATGTTCACTGGTACACAAAGACAGGGAGCAGGAGAGAGAGAGAGAGAATAGTGTAACGCGGATTCGGTGCATACTTTCCTCACTACATTAAATTCAACACACTTATAAACCATTACGACGCGCTAGAAATCCCAACTTCGACTGCCGCAATTGATGGGATAATCCAGGCCTTTGGAGGGAGAGGGTTAGGCTGCAATGGCTCCTTCCTAAAGTGGCCGTTTGAGTGACTCTCGTTGATGAGAAATCAGCGACCTTTTGATGTCTGGTTCGTGCGCGTGTGTAGAGCGCCTGGACGCGGG